TGTTGCCTAAGTAGCTCGGCCTCACTGAGACTGCGACTCTGTGAGGAGTAGCAAAGGTGAGGTCGTCTACATACACAAGTATGTAGAATGGAGTCTGGCCAGCACGAACAAAGAGCATGATGTGGAGTGGTGCTGGAAGAACTGAAGATCTGCTAGCGTGGTGCGGTGCATGTCGTGACCGCAGACCGTAGACTAGACACCTTAGGCTCTACTAGGCCCAGGTGGGAAGGACCCAAAGAAGCCTAGTGGGCATCTCAGGTAGATTTACTCATGCAGGCTACCTTGCAGGAAGGTGGTGAAGTCCATTCAGTGGAGCTCGTAGTCATGCTACATGGCTAGGTGGAGGAGCACCCGAAGAGTAGACATCTTTGTAGGGGAGGAAAGGTCTGGAAGAAGTCCACACCCTCTCGCTGAGTGAAACCTCTAGCCACGTAACATGCCTTGAACTTCGGCTGCTCTCCAGGTGCGCGCTTCAGTCTGTAGATCCACATATCATTGACTACGTTCGACGTAAGTGCCAGTGGATGCGTAGGATGCCGTCTCTGCCTCCATGGTCTATAATTACTGGGCTGCCCAGGCGCCCGAGACCGCATTAGCGTAAGAGGGTGGGGTAGGGATGTCCACGGCACCCGGGTCACCCTCAAGAGATACAAGTATAGCGAAGAGATGTGATACAATGGCAGCAAGGTAAGCCAGCTCGCACTGCCTGCCCTCTAGTACGTAACTGCCAAGGGCAGGTGCACCCCCGAAGGGGACGGGGGACAAATAGGGTCAAAAACCAGAGCGGCAGCATAGTCAAGGTGGTGGCTAGCAGCAAAGTCAGCGACAGCAGCGACAAGCGCAAAGACAGTCTCCGGAGGAGCGGTAGGGAAAGTTACGAGGGACGCAAGCCAGCGGGAGACGACTAGACGAGCAGTGCGAGTAGAGTCAGTGGAAGGAGCTTTGAACAAGGGGAGCAACGACCGGGGAGGTAACGGCAGGACTGGGACTAAAGGAGCACGAGAACGAAGGACCATAGGGTGGAAACTAGGACGAGGAGGGACATGACGACCACCATGTGGACGACAGACCTAGTGGGCGACGGGGGACTGGAGACGAGGGGGAAAGAGGAACAGGACGAGGGACGGAGGAGATCGAGGGGGGAAACGAGCAAGAGAGGAGTCCGGGTGGGGGGAACAACGGGCCGTAGAAAGGGTCAGGCGGGAGGGGAGGCAAAGTAGGGGGGATGAGCGGGCGGTCAGCGGAACCGGAGGGGAGGCCAAAGAGACGAATGGCAGACTGCGGCTGCTGCTACAGCGGCGACTGCGGCTGCTCCCCGTCCTCTCCAGGACATCCAGCCCTACCTTGGCTACCACATGTACTCTCCGAAATAGCACCCCCAGGACTAGCACCCCCTGACATACCTCCCACAGAACTAGCACCCTCAAGACTGACACCCACAAAACCAGCACCCACAGAACCAGCACACGCAGAACCAATACCCCCAGAACCAGCACCCCCAGAGTCCACGGTCCCCCGCTGCTGCTGTTGCTGTTTCGGTTGCGGCCGTTGAGGCTGTTGTGGCTGCTGCTACTGCTGCAGCTGCTGCGACGAGGGGGGAAGCGGCTGCGGTGCCTGGGGCACCAGGGCTAGGGGGGAAGGCGCAGCAGGGACAGCAGGTGCACCCCCCAGCGACAGCCCCCCAAGAGTCAGCAGACTCCCCCACGGGGTAAATCGAGGGGAACGGGGTGGCGTGAGAGACACCAGACGGGGCCGCGCGGGGTGGGAGGGGTGCGGAAGGCGAGGTAGGGGCGGGGAAGAGAGAAGGAGGAGGGACACTAGAGGCATGGTAAGGGAAGCAGGTGTAGTAGGGAAGCATCTTGTCGAAGGTAACGTAATGAGAGCGGTAGAAGCGGTGGTGTACCGAGTGGTGAAACAGTTGGTGAGCTGCATAGCGCACTGCGAACGGTTATTGAAAATGGGGTGCACCGATGTGGACCACCATGACCAGGCCGATGCGTCGCTCAGCGACCCCATTCTGCTGCGGGGAGTCCGGCAGTGTGTATGTCTGGGTGATGCCCTCCGCATAGCAGAACACTCCACGACGGTCGGAGGCAAACTCGCCACCACGGTCGGAGTATAGACGTACCACGGGCAGGTGGCGCTGAGTGCGGGCGTGAATAGCTACGAGATTAAAAAACGTAATGCATGTCGGCCTTCCGCTCCAGCGGGAACACCGTGGTGAAGCGCGTAAATTCGTCAACAATGACGAGGAGGAAGTGCTTCATGCTAAGACCAAGGACCAGGGCGGGGCCCCAAACGTCCATGTGCAGGATCTGTAATGGTGATGTGGTAGAAGGAAACGAGGAGTGAGAAGCGGCGCGCTGCCAGCCCTCGACGCTGGAGGTGCACAGTTGCGCTACGGACGCAGACAGAGCTAGGGGCGACGCAGGAAGACTAGTGACTAAACCGTACTAGGACATGTGCCTAAGACGCGGGAGTGCAGAGTGACCTAGGCGGTGGTGCCACAGAAGGGTCGGGTGGGCGAGGGAGCGACAAGAGCACGACGCGGTTACCTCAGCGGACGCAGCAACTGGCGAGGGCTCTGTGTGCAGGATGAAGAGACCGGACGCTGGGTCACGGTCGAAGTGGCTAGTGGGGCGCCCGTGGATGTGTTCATACATGTAGCCAGGAAACATGGTGGTGACTCTTCGGTCCTGGATGTGACCTACACCAATTAGGTTCCTGGAAAACGTAGGGATGTGCAGACGTGTAAAGGAGTCAGAGGGGACAGCTGTACAGGGGAGGGCGGTGGTGCTGCATGAAACTACTGTGGATGGGGAGTCTGCTAGGGAGATCTGGACCGGTGCAGGAAGCGGGGTGAGAGTAGTGATGTTTCCAAAGAAGCAGTGAGATGCGCCAGAGTCAAGTGTTAAGGAAAGGGCCGCCGTAATAGGGGCAGGGGAGGAGCCTAGGGGACACATTGTAGAGGCTTCTAGACTAGACACAGTAGTGGGACCTAGACCCCTAGGCCCTCGGGCCCCCGGGCCTCTAGAGAAAGCACGCGGGCCCCACCTTCAGGGCCTCAACCGTGCTCAATATGCCCAAGACCCCACCGCGGCTGCTGCTGCTGCTGCTGCTGCGCGGGGCAAGCAGCCCGGTAGCGTACCTCGAGGTCGTGAAGCTAGAAGCCAAGGAGCGAAATAATGTGGTCCTCTAGGAGCGTGCAGTCTACGTGCGGGCTCACCAGTTGCAAGGAGTGAGAGAGAAGCCGGAGGGCTAAAGGAACTGTCCGGCAGTCCGACCGAGGGACTGACTCCAATGAGGTCGTCATGCCGAGAGGGGAGGCGTTGAGGAACTCTAGAAATGAGGAGGAGACTAGTGGGAGGCGCTAGAGGCTGCAGGAACACGAACGGAGATAGCAGCAGTGGCGGTTGTGGCCGGAACGACAGTCTGGCAATGGCAGCTAGCGGCAGATTGGTGGCAGCGAGCAGGAGGCTGGGAGCAGGAGCGGCTAGCGGCAGGCTGCCGGCAGCAGTAGCGAGTGACAGTAACGCGACACTGGAGGCTAGCTGGCGGCGGGCTGGTAGCAAGAGGTGGTGAGGTGGCGCGCTGGCGGCGAGCTGGCGAGCTGGCGAACGAGTGAGCGAGCGAAGAGGCTGGCGAGCTGGCGAATGAGCTGGTAGCGGCTAGTGAGGTGCTCGCTGCGGCTGCTGGCAGCAAGCTGGCAGCTAGCGAGCTGGCGGCTAGCTGGCGGTAGCGAGCTGCGAGCGAGCTGCTGGTGGCGGCTAGCCAGCGGCGGCTGGAGGGTAGCGGCAGGCAGCGGCGGCTGGCAGCAGCGGCGGGCAGCAGCGGCTGGTGGGCAGCGGCGGGCAGCGGCGGCGGGCAGCAGCGGAGGGCAGCGGTAAGTTGATGGCGACAAGCTGGCAGCAAGCTGTAGGCGGGTTGCTGCTGGCGGCGATCTGGCGGTGAGCGGGCAGGTGCTGCTAGCGGATAGCTGGCAGGCGCTGCTGACGGCTAGCTGGCTGGCGCTGCTGGTGGCTAGCTGGCTGGCGCTGCTGGCGGCGAGCTGGCTGGTGCTTGGCGGCTAGCTGGCTGGCGCTGGTGGCAGCCAGCTGGCAAGTGCTGCTGGCGGCCAGCTGGCCGGCGCTGCTGGCGGCCAGCTGGCCGGCGCTGCTGGCGGCCAGCTGGCCGGCGCTGCTGGCGGCCAGCTGGAAGGCGCTGCTGGCGGCCAGCTGGCAGGCACTGCTAGCTGCGAGCTGGTTGGCGGCAGGCCGGCTGGCCTGCGTGCTGGCTGGCTGGTGCGCTGACAGGCTGGCGTGCTGGCTGGCTGGTGCGCTGACAGGCTGGCGTGCTGGCTGGCACACGTGCTGGCTCGTGCTCGTGCTGGCTGGCACGATTGCTGGCGCGCTGACTGGCGTGCTACGCGCTGGCAGGCTGGCTGCCGCGCTGGCTGGCGACTAGCGTGCTAGCGAGCGAATTGTCTTGTCCGGTCTGGTCAGATTAGGATGCGCTGTGAAGTGACTAGTTTCAGCGACATCTGTGGTCTCTCATGGGTGCGCAATCTGTGACTACCGGTACCTTATGGGCTTCTCTCACTATGCAGAGGTCAACGGTAGGAACCAGGCCCCCAGAAGTCAGGAAAATTTTCCTGATTCAGGAAAAAAACAGGGTGTTGAGGGGTATCAGTCCTGATTTGCTAGGGTTTTGTTTTTGGCATTTCCTGAAATTTCATGGTTTTTTTGTAAGGGATATCTGTTAGCTCAGTTTTTTTTTGTAAGCGATCCTGAAATTTCGGACTTGTATCGAGCATGGGTTCTGAGGCTCTGCGAGGGAAGAGATTCCCTCCGCCCCTGCAATCTCGTCGCCTCCCCCCCCCCCCACTCAGCCCTCCCCCCTCTCCCCCCCACCAATTGTCGATTCCTTTCCTGCCCATCCCCCAATCTCGCCCAACGCGCAAGAATTCGCTACGAATTCCCAGCACCCTCAACAATCAAGCATGTATAGAAACTTTGAGAAATCAGGAATTCTGATGGCTCAGGCTTTTTTTTGGGGGGACCCTGAAAATTCAGAATTTTTTGAAGGGAGAATCCTGATGGATCAGGAAGCCTCAAAACCAATATAAGGCCCTGGTAGGAACGCTGGCAAATTGATACATCTTCTTGCCAGCTGTCCTGCCCTTGAATCTGTCCATGCATTTTCCCATCCTTCTACCATGGGACACATTGCTAGTACCGCACGCCGCTGGTCAACACAAAGGGTGCCGAAAATGGCAAAACACACTTCAGAGACACATCACAGCGTTACACTTGGGCACCAATAAATCTACTGTGGTCGGTCACACCGGCTGTTTGGCCATCACCGCTTAGCGCACAGCGATGTTCTTGGAGCCAGTGCCGACCTGCCCCCGCTCGCTGCGGCGCAGCGCCTTGTGCATGTTGTACGCGTACGCCAGCGCCGCCTTGTTCAGGCGCGGCTCATACACACTCAGCTGATGGGGGGAGGACAGAGGGGATGGGGGGGATAGGGAGCGGGAGAGGGGAGAACGGGGAGGTGAGATGGGGGGAGAATGGAGTGGTGAGTACGGGTTGAGTAAGGGTTGATGTGCCTTGTGTGGATTGTACGCATACGCCAGGGCGCCTTTGTTCAGCCAAGGCGAGTACGTGCCCAGCTGACGGGGGGGGGGATGGGGGAGGGGGGGGGGGGGATGTGTAAAATTGGCGATGGGGAGGAGGGAGTGGGGGCTGATGGGTAAGATGCAGTTGGATGCGGAAGTCTAAAGCTGCATTCCTCCGCTCGTACGCGTTCAGCAGAGGGAGAGGGGAGCGGAACAAAGGGTGGAGAGTTGGTCTAAGCCTCTTGGCGATCACCTCTTTAACGGTTATGCCTATAACACACTATATAACGCACCCTGTCGGTGATCCTCTGGGCGATCTGCGGCATGTCCTTCTTGAGCGCGATCACCTCGCGGGCCTCCGCGGGCTTGTGCGCCTTGTCGGGGTGCGTGATGGTCATCTCCAGGTTCTGCCCCTTGCCCGTCGCGCGGATCGACACCGTCTTGCCCGCCGCCAGGCCTTCATACGGGAAGGGGGAGGGCGGAAGCGGGGAGAGGGGGGTGGGGGAAGCAGAGGAGGCGGGAAAGAGTGGGGCTTGTGCGGCTAGTCGGGGTGCGTGACCGCCATTTCCGAATTCTGCCCGTTGCCCGTTGCGTAGATCGCCACCGTCTTGCACGCCGCCAGGCCTTGGGAAAGGGAGGGGGAGGAGAGGGCGAAGGGAGGCGGAAGAAGAGGAGGCGGGAGGGAGGTGAGGCTTGTGCGCCTTGTCGGGGTGCGTGACCGTCATCTCGAGATTCCGCCCCTTCCCGGCCCCTTTCAACCGCTGCTTTTGAAGACGACGACTTCGCGCAGCGGTTGAATCCGCGGAAAACGTTCTGTATTCGCCTAGCCGCTGACCGCCGCCCCGAACCCCACTGCTCGCAGTGGAGCCATTTCTGACGATTCTAAAAAACAACTCCACTCTACACGCGAGGAACGTTCTGCATGCGCCTAGCCGTGGACTCAACCGCTGCCCCGAATCCCACTGGTCGCCTCGCCACGTGGGCGTTGCCTCTCGCGCCGCCTTGTTCGCTCTGTGACAAACATTGACGCGACTCCCTCATGCTCCTCATATGCATGCAGCACGGGCTGTCTGCTCCACGCGGATCGCTGTCAGCACCGGTCATCGCCTCGTGCTCGCCCATCGCCGCATGCTCACCCGTCGCCGGATGCTCGCCCATCGTCGCATGCTCACAGTCGCTCATCGCCTCACGGCCTGCGTTTGCAACATCCGCGATTGCGAGCTCATGCTCTCGCCCGCCCCAGATTCTCGCGCACCCTTTGCTCAGATTCTCGAGATCTCTCCTCCTCCGCTGGTATCCTAATCTACCGCCCCCGATGGCTGCTTTCTGCGGCGTCGCCTTCCGCCATTGAGCCAGGCAATGACGGCCCAGCTTGCTTCGATGCATTTAGAGTCGACTCGACACACACCTGGCCAGGCAATGACGGCCAGATTACGCCGCGCACAGCACGCGATATTTTTAAAACTGGCTCCGAAGAGATTACAAGATTCCGAGATTTGCGAGCTTTCTAGGGGACACGACGCGTGGAATCGCAGGCGCGCAGACGTCAGCCCCTAACCACTTCGGGAAGCAAAACCTTCGTAGAACGACTCGTAAAAAAAGAGGCAGCGTGAATTCATGAATCGGCTCAACGCGCAGAGGCAGCAGCAGCAGTAGCAGCAGCAGCAGGCGCGCTGTATACTTGCGCACGTGAGTGTTCGAATTGACTCAAAGCGCAGGAGTGGCAGGACGAGCGGGTGCATACCTGTGTACTTGCGCGAGTGGAGGGCGACGAGGTTGTTGGGCTCGCGGCTGAGGTGGCGCTTCGAGCCGACGGCCGTGCGCGCCTTGAAGGAGTGGCCCTGGTTGAGCAGCACCCACACCAGATCGTCGGACGCGTTGGGGAGAGCCATTACGACAAGAACGGGAGACTAAGGAGAATGTGCGAGGTAGCGGAAGGAACGAACGCAAGGCAGGCAGGAAAGAAAGGAAGGACCAGAAACGACGGGGGGTTTTAGCGGAGGAGAGATGGATGGATGCTAGGGTTTGCAAGTGAGGGCATGTTGGAAGTCAGTTGTTCAGACTGCGAGGCATTTCCAGCATCATTTAGGTAAGTGTTCGCGTTAATAGCAAAGGACTGCGTCGTCATGTTGGACGAATGGGAATATGAACCAAGTATACAACACACATGAAAAAGTTGTATCCGTCATTTTATAAAGGTGGAAAAAGGTAACCTAGAGGACATGGTTACATGCATTTTATATGTAAGGAATTTCCATTCCTTACTGAGTCGACCGCTACCGCGTACACCCGAACATCTCGACTCATCACGTTCGGCCCAACCCTTTCCCGAGTCGCGTCCGACACTGTCGCCCTATTGCCGAACCTACCCACGTCCCGAGGCTGTCGCCCTATTACGTCTACTCCTATATAACCTCGTACTTTCATTGCAATAACGACCTTGTATTCTCACGTTATAGTGCATTGACATCTTCTAAATCATAACAGCTGGTATCGGAGCCCGAGCTTTCCAGGAACCTTCCGTTCTTTCGTTAATTAGTTAGGGGTGGTCAGAGGGGATTAACACGGCTGCACAGCACTTGTCTTCGATCGTAAATAATTTTACGTCAACAACTACAGCGTGTGCGCTAGTTTCTACCCCGTCCTGACCGCCATGGCCCCGGTAAACTCGACAGTTGAGGAACAGACAACCTCGACTGCTGCGAATTATGCCCGGGAAACAGTAGACCTGCAAGCGTTAATGGAGCAGTTGAACAATTTGACAAGTGTCGTCAACAACCTCCGCGACGAAAACCAATGACTTCGCCAGGCGCAGAAAAGGCGTCCACAGGAGCCGCGCGACGATGCACGAAGCGAGGCGGGTGAGCAGCAACCGACGCCAGTGGAGCTGGCACGACTAGCGGCGACAGCCCCGCGCTCGACAAGTGGCGGCGTGAGATATCAGCAACCCGCTCCTTTCGATCCAGCTAATAAAGGCGTGACGGTGCGGCAGTGGATATTCGCCATGAATATCTATTTCAACGCGGCGGGCATCCGAGACGATCAGAAGCGGATCAGCCATGCGTTAACATTGTTGCAAGGGGCCGCCCTACAGTAGCGGAAGGTCATCGTCGACTCAGCGGCAACTCGCACAGAAGGACAGCACGAGTGGTCCGAAGAATTCGGCGACGAAGACGAAACAGATTTGCTGTTTGGTGCAACTCACATTCGCATGTGGGCAACATGGTGCGCAGAGCTTCGCAAGTGGTTTGAGCATGCTCCTGACTCAGACAAAGCGCGCGAAACTTTACGCATGTGGAAGCAGCTGGGATCTGTGTCCGACTACACCGCGTCATTCTTGACGTTGGTGGATCGATGTGGCTACATGCACGAGTTGGAGAAGGTTGACAGGTACATGGGCGGGCTGAAGCCTGAAATACAGTACCAAATAAAATTACAACGACCTGCAAAACGGTTACAAGACTTCATCCAACTCGCCAAGCCGCCGATTCGTTCACGAAGCCGAGGACGAACTTCTACGACGGAGGTCGCCCTCGAGAACAGTACCAGCGCCCCGATAAAAGGGATGGACGCAGTGGATATTTACGCAGTTGCTCCACGCAATACGGGGCTATGCTACCACTGTGGCCGACCGGGTCATATTAAACGCAACTGCCAAGAGTTCTTAGCCATCCAGAATTCTATGGGGAAGAAGCCGGAGGAGCGACAGGGAAATGGGTCGCGTCAGTAAGTACCGGGCCCCTTACTGACGGGCAGGCTTCTTCGCCCGAGCCACACAGTCCCCACCGAGTCGTGATCCCGATTGCTGCAATCGACCGGACCCGGACAATAAGGGGGACGAAACTGCCGATCACCCTGTGTTGGTGGAGGGTACAGTGACGGAAACAATTGTCCAGATGTTTTGCATTAATTAGGGTTTTTTAGCTTTCCGACCACTATACATGAAGTCTTAATGTTTAATGGTGGTACGCATTGGAACCACCACTTGGCCTTGATCACCACTCGCACCTTCCTAGCCATGTTATCGACAAGGTTAGTGCAAACCTTTGCAGAGATCTTCTCGCACTCTTCCTGGACCCAAGCTTTTGCATAAGGGGGTGAGCACTAGGAAAATCGCCAAGGATTTGAGCGTATGCAAGAGTATTGTGCACGATTTCAGATTGAACGTTATCTCTACGATTAGCCATGCTGAGGTGTGGCCAAAGATGCCATAAGTCGATTGGTCCCGTCTTATCATGGATCGTCTTCGTCGTACTGTTGTAGGTAAAAATTACGAGCAGAATGACGAAAACTAGCGTATCTGCCACGAAACTTAGGGTAACATAGCACGGTCGACTGTGCATCCTTGCACTATTAGAATCACGCTAGGATCCGTAGGTCTCGTCACGGTGCAGCAGTCGAAGAAGTCGCGACTGTTCATAAAGAATATCCTGGTTAAGATCTGGTGAGGAAAAGGGTCACTCCAGTGTAACATACTCATGTTCTCCAAGCCATTCTAAGCCATGTGTCCCGCCTAGGCTTAGAATGGCTAGGAGAATAGGAGTTTGTAGCACTGGAGTGTCCCTCTCCCTCACCAAACCTGAACCCGGATATTTTTCCCCACCAGTCGGGGCTTCTTCGATTGCTGCACCGTGATGAGACCCGTAGATTTTAACATGATTAGTGAATGGGTGCATAGTCGATCGTGCTATATTACCCTGAGTTTCGCGGCGGACACGCTAGTTTTCGCCACTCTGCTCGTAATTTTACCCTACAATGGTACGACAAAGACAATTCATGATAAGATGGGACTAATCGACTTATGACATCTTTGGTCACACCTCAGCATGGCTAGTCTCAGAGATAACATTCAACCTGAAATCGTGCACTGTACTCTTGCATACGTTCAAATACTTCGCGATTTTCCTTGTGCTCACCCCCTTATGCAAAAGGGTGGGTCCAGGAAGTGTGCGAGAAGATCCCTGTAAAGGTTTGCACTAACCTCGTAGTTAACATGCCTAGGAGGGTGCAGGTGGTTATCAAGGCCAAGTGTTGGTGGAGTAGGTACTAGAAACGCTGCTCGGAAGTTTGCTCTTTGTCCTGGGAAATAATTGTCCGGATGTACTCTTTGTATATCTTTTGGCACTAAGTTAGATCCAATGTACTTTTATGGAATTTACCACTGTGAACACATCCACTATGTGCCCCTCCCAAAGCATACCACCATTAAGTATTAAGAATTTATGTACACTGGTCAGAAAGCTAAAAACCCCTAATTAATGCGAAACATCCGGACAATTGTTTCCGTCACGGTAAAGTCAATGGGGTGTTGCTGAAAATATTCGTGGATGGAGGCGCGAGTCACAGTCTCATACAGCTAGACAGGGCTAAGAAAATGGGTATGCCCTTATTAAAGTGTCTACCCGAAATTGACGCAAGACTGGTGGACGGAACACCGCTAGCTATACGAGAGCGGGTGGAGCACGTCAGTTTCCACTGCGGCGAGCACGTAAAATTTCGGATGGGGCTGCTGGCGACTACACTCGACGGGTGCGACGTGCTACTAGGACGGGACTGGCTGCGACAGTACAATCCGAGGATCGACTGGACGACGGGTAGCTGCAGCATCAAGATCGATGGGCACTATCGCGAGTTACCGAAATGGACAGGACCCCGCATGCGAAGTACTCAAGTCCACGCGATAACTTTCAAGCGAGTGATAAAAGCGGGGGCTGCAGCGTACGCCGTTGATCTTCGCGAAGTGACGACGCCGACAACAGCGGAAGATATAGTGAGGCTGTGTGAAGCCGTCCCTCCGGATTTAGCGGAACTCATTCGAAAATACCTCGAGATTTTCCCGGACGACCTCCCCGCTGGACTTTTGCCAAGCCGACCCGAAGACCATCGCATCAAGCTGGAACCAGGTGCACAACCGACAGTACAGCGACAATTTCGGCTCAGCCAACCGGAACTCGAAGAATTGCAGCAGTAGTTAGATTACCTCGTGACGAAAGGTTTTATCCGCCCAAGCACATCCCCATACGCCGCCCCCATACTGTTCACGCCGAAAAAAGATGGAGGATTCCGCATGTGCATCGACTTCCGCGCCCTCAACCGCATCACAATCAAGTCCCGTTACCCGATCCCGCGAGCCGACGGCCTACTCGACCAACTTCGCGGAGCCAAGTTCTTCTCGAAAATCGATATGCGATGAGGTTACCAAATTCGCGTCGCCACCGACGATTGCCACAAAACTGCATTCCGAACCCGCTACGGTAGTTACGAATATCTCGTGATGCCCTTTGGCCTCACGAACGCGCCCTCGACGTTCCAGATGACCATGAACGGCGTTTTCCGGGAACTCCTGGATAAATGCGTAATTATCTGCCTCGACGACATACTAATCTACAGCCGCAGCAGGGAGCAGCACTTACAGGATCTTGATGCAGTCTTCACGCTGGTGCACAAGAATCGCCTCATCACGAAAGGGTCTAAGTGCGATTTTCTTAAGCGGGAGTTGGAGTTTTTGGGCGATGTCGTCTCTACCGAAGGAGTGAAAATCGACCCCAAGAAAATCAAGACCATACAGGAATGGAAGCCGCTGACTAACCTCAAAGAACTACAGAGTTTTCTGGGTTTCGTCAACTACGTCCGCCGTTTTATCCCTAACATGGCTGGGTTATCAGCCCCACTAACCGACCGACTGAAGGATCACGAGTGTTTTTGGTGGGGAGAGAAGCAGCAAGCTGCATTCGACCAACTCAAAATTGCCCTCACGTCGCCGCCCGTCCTTCGCATCTCCGATCCCGACCGTCCATACGAAGTCGTCACTGACGCCAGCGATATCGCCATCGGTGCAGTACTCCTACAGGATTTTGGCGACGGATTACAGCCAGTCGCATACGAATCACGGAAGCTGCAGGGCGCGGAAAAGAACTATACCATCCTCGACAAGGAAATGCTGGCGATCATCCACGCGTTCAAGACCTGGCGATGCTACCTGACAGGAGCTGACGTTACAGTGCGGACTGACCACAAATCCTTAGAGTACCTGCGTTCCCAACCGAACCTCAACTCACGACAGATCCGATGGCTCGACTTCCTCGAGTCAAATTTCCACTACACCATCACCTACAAACGAGGGGCAAATAGTATTGCCGACGCCCTGACCCGCCCCACTGCCCATACTGCTGCTATACTAGTCGCCCAGACAAACCCATTGCTTACGGGACTATTCACCCACGGCTACAAGATCGATCCCTTGTGGGACCAATTCGGTACCAAACTACAGTTTTCCTCCGCCTACCACCCACAGCCCGACGGGCAGACCGAACGAGTCAACCAAACCATCGAACAACTCATTCGGACTACCTGTACTGACCCACAGACATGGGAGAAATCCCTTCTGCTACTCGAATTCGCGTATAATAACGCGACCTCCGCCACAACCACCCGGTCCCCATTCTTCCTCAACTACGGACAGGACCCAGTGGTACCCTCTACACCGAACATCGAGTCACCCGTGCCCTGGTCCCAGAAATTTGCTGAAGACATTCTCGCCGCTCGAGAAAAAGCAGCTGAGGCCATCAGAAAAGCCAACCTGGTGGCAAGCCAACAAGCCGATCGTCATCGCCGTAACGTCACTTACAAGGTGAGAGATCTCGTCCTCCTCGACACTTGCAATCTGCGGTTGCCGATCCCGAGTAAACTCCGGCCCATATTCTGCGGACCTTTTCAAGTGACGAACATGGTGACACCTGTCACTGTTCACCTCCGACTCCCGGCTGATAGGCGTCACCACCCGACTTTCCACGTCAGTCTCTTACGGCCTTACGTCCCCAGTTCGTCGGACTTGGCACGCCACCGTGAGGTACCGCAGTTGACGCCCCTTCAAGAACCGATAACCGAGCCGTTGAAAATTCTGGGCCATCGCGTCACAACGCAGCTGAACTGTCGGATGGTTGATTTCCTCGTCCGCTGGCGCGATCGAACGTCCGAAGACGACAGCTGGGTGCCTCTTGCTGACATAGAATCACATCCGATTCTAACGGCGTATTATCAGCGTTGGAATGTCTCCGATGCCCACGGCCTCGTTTAGGAGGGGGGGGGGGGTAGTGTAAGGAATTTCCATTCCTTACTGAGTCGACCGCTACCGCGTACACCCGAACATCTCGACTCGTCACGTTCGGCCCTCATTTTCGGCCCAACCCTTTCCCGATTCGCGTCCGACTCTGTCGCCCTATTGCCGAACCTACCCACGTCCCGAGGTTGTCGCCCTATTACGTCTACTCCTATATACCTCGTACTTTCATTGCAATAGCGACCTTGTATTCTCACGTTATAGTGCATTGACATCTTCTAAATCATAACATTATAGTTTTTAAATACTTTTAAAACCCGCGGCCCAAATTGTTCATACGCACTGCGTATGAACTGTGAGCCTCAGCCTGGACGAAATACACAGAAAAATCGTGAGTGTGTTTCATGTCGCGAATGCGTGATTTGTCGTGGATCGTCCGATTTTCAAGCAGGCAGTGCGACGGCTGAGATTGCATTTCGATTGACTGGGGGAAGCACTTTACTTGCGAGCCGTTAGATGAAAATCGACAGATATTGGACGGCTAGAGAACGCAAGGCACTTGGTGTCCCAAAATACGTTCCGCGCTGAACTTGAAAGCCAGCCCCAAGTGACACGAGTCACGTTACCCCCATTACACCCACGAAAACTCGACTTTCAAACGCAGTGCGTTTGAAGGTCGCGCCTCGCAATTTGGGCCACGGGTTTTAATACGTAATAATTATCATTTGTGTGGATTTTGATTGGCTTCGGTGGTGGACCTGGTTATAAAGGCTGCCAATTGACTTGCTGAACTTGGCAACTAGCTGCCTTGTAATGCAAAACGATTCCCTCTTGTCGAAACATTTATCCGTTTCCTGCACTGCCATGTGGTTCCCCGTCAGTGCGCCGCCTTGGAATCATGAATTTGAACGGCCCAAATTTACCCATGGCCCAAGCCGCCGCCTCCACTAACCATTTCCCTGAAGCCAAGTGAAAGCAGGGGTCCTTTCCGCTTTCCTTTATGCCAAGTGTTCGTAGCTATCCGCCATGGCATCCACCGCGATTCCCGCTGCTGTGTATCGAGCTACGAGCTCGCAACTGAACGGTGATCACCAGCTATCTCGTCGCTGCGGACTGCAAGCGGAGGAACCGGTCCCTTGCGCCCGATTCGGCCGCACTAGCCGATCGCTTCGTTTGCCATCTCGCGCTGCTGCTGTCGCCAGGAATCGCACGGTCGGCAGGGATCGCACGGGGTCGTTTTCGCGTCGCGGGTTGGCGGTTGTCGCCGCGACAGGCGCAAATGTCGCAGCAGACGCGGATGTGGACTTGTACGGTCTTCTCGGGGTCGATCGTAGCGCGGATAAAGCCGAGCTGAAGCGTGCATTTCGCAAGCTGGCGCTTCAAGCTGAGTGCTCGCTTCTCCCCGCGTCGCTGATCATGCCACCCTTTCGATGGTCTTGTCTCCGTGGTCCCGCGAGCTAGTATCCGTTCCCACGGCGCGTTCGGCTCGTAGTCGTTGTGGCCATTGACGCGGCTCCGGTCCGCGCTGCAGCAGTCAGTGGGCTGGGATGCGTTGACGTGGATGTGCCTTGGATACCTCCGAGTCGCTCTAGTGTCGCCAAGCCACACTCATCCACTCTCCCCTCTGTCACACCCACGCCCACTCCTCGGTCCCCTCTGTCCCCTCTGTCTCCTCGGTCTCACACCCACTCCTTTCTCTCACTCCCACACTCCCCCCACTCCCGCCTGCCCACCTGCAGTATCATCCCGATGTCAACAGCGACCCCGGGGCGGCAGACACGTTCATTCAGCTCAGTAACGCGTACGAGGTAAGGGGCGGCTTCCACCACTGGCAGCGCATGTTGCTGTGCCTCGCTTCACAGGTGCTGGCAGACCCCCCTGCACGGCCGGTTCGCTTTGGTGTGCTGCGTTGGCTTGCTGCGCTGCGCGGCCGCTGTGCGTTTTCATCCACTCTCCACACCCCTCACCTCCACGCTCCAGGTGCTGCTGCACTCTGTACCACCGGTTGGCTTGAATCGGTTCTCCCTCTGCTTTCTGTGCTGCCCGTACTGCCTGTGATGCAATGCTCATCGCCCCCTTTCCTTGCTCTCTCTGCTGCCCCTGCTCGCCATACCACCCGCCACCCATCAGGTGCTGCTGGACGACGAGCAGCGGTCGCTGTACGACCAGTTTGGATTAACAAGTGCTGCTGCCTGTGCTCGAATGAAACACTGCATGTGCCACTCGCTGTGCTGCTTCTGCTGCCCGTACCACCCACCACCCAGCACCCATCAGGTGCTGCCGGACGACGAGCAGCGCTTGCTGTATGACGGGTTCGCTTGACTAGGTGCTGCCTCTGCTTGCTGTGCTGCCCGTACCACCCACCACCCATCAGGTGCTGGTGGACGACGAGCAGCGGTCGCTGTACGACCGGTTTGGCGCGGCAGCGTTGGACCGCAGTTTCATGGCGGCGAAGGCGGCGGAGCGCAAGGGAGCGGCGTGGGAGGCGTTTGACACGTGGGACGAGTTCCAGCCCTTCCAGCGCAAGTGAGCCCTTCCAGCGCAAGTGAGCCCTTCCAGCGCAAGTGAGCCCTTCCAGCGCAAGTGAGCCCTTCCAGCGCAAGTGAGCCCTTCCAGCTCCAGCGCTAGTGTCTTCCAGCACTAGTGAGCTGAGCGCTAAGTGGGGCACAGGTGGTGTGAGTGAGGTGGCTGGCAGCCTGGCATGTGTGACTCCTGAGCGAGCAACTCAGCTGAGCCCAGTTCCAGCCTTTCCAGTGGAAGTGATGCACTTGTGGGATGAATTATGTACACTGAGGACACGGTACTGTGTGTGTGAAAGCAGTGTATCCATGGTAGTATATCCATGGTAGTGTATCTATGGTATTGTATCCATCGTAGTGTATCTATGGTTGTGTATCCATGGTAGTGTATCTATGGTAGTGTATCCATGGTAGTGTATCTATGTTAGTGTATCCATGGTAGTGTATCTAAAGTAGTGTATCTATGGTAGTGTATCTAAAGTGGTGTATCCATGGTAGTGTATCTAAAGTAGTGTATCTATGGTAGTGTATCTAAAGTGGTGTATCCATGGTAGTGCATCCATGGTACTGTATCCATGGTAGTGTATCCATGGTAGTGTATCCATGGTAGTGTATCCATGGTAGTGTATCTATGGTAGTGTATCCATGGTAGTGTATCCATGGTAGTGTATCTATGGTAGAGTATCTATGGCAGTGTACCCATGGTAGTGTATCTACGGTAGTGTATCCATGGTAGTGTATCTATGGTAGTGTATCCATGGTAGTGCATCCATGGTAGTGCATCCATGGTAATCCATCCATGGTTGCATGTACCATGTGCAGCACTCCATGTGCCATGCATGTAGCATGTGCAGCACTCTCTGTGCCCTGTTGTACAACTCCCCGTGCTCCATTGCAGGGCTCGCAAGGGCGACGCATGGCAGGCAGTAGCAACGAGATAGTTGTTGTGTGACAGCGAGAGTGAGAGTGAGAGGGGGAGTGAGTGAGTGAGGGAGGGACGAGGACAGGGAGCAGAGGCATCAGGGGCAGTGGCCCGAGTAGCCGATTCCCTGTGCTTGGTGCCACAAATCTTCCCGTGCTCCATGGCAGGACGCGCAAGGGCGATGCACGGCAGGCAGCGGCAGTGAGATGGTCGTCAGACAGCGAGAGTGAGAGCGAGAGCGAGGGGGACGGGGTGGTGGAGGCGGTGACAGGCGATGTGGTGGAGTACCCGCTGTCTGATGCCGTGCGGACAAGGTTTGATGATGGCCGGCTGAAAGGTAGTAATGAGTGTCTAACAGGATGTATGTGCCTGACTGTCTGTATGTCATGAGGAAAAGCAGAGAGGCATTGACAGGCGATGTGGTGGAGTACCCGCTGTCTGACGCCGTGCAGACAAGGTTCGACGACGGGTGGCTGAAAGGTGATATGTGGCTGTGTGTGTGGCATGAGGGGTGGTGGAGGCGGTGACAGGCGATGTGGTGGAGTACCCACTGTCTGATGCTGTGAGGACAAAGTTTGATGATGGCCGGCTGAAAGGTGAGGTGCCTGCCCTGCTGTGCTGCTGTCCACATGCATTGTTAAGCCCCCCCGCCAATCGGTGACAAGTGCTGCTCAACTCAAGCATGTGCCTCTGGTTCACAGTTGCCGTCCTCATGGCTTCACATGCTGCACCACGACAACAACAACAACACAGCATAGCACAGCATGGCCCCCCGTCTTGTCCTGTGTCGTCCTGTGTCGTCCTGGGTTGTCCTGGGTTGTCCTGGGTTGTCCTGTGTCGTCCTGGGTTGTCCTGGGTTGTCCTGGGTTGTCCTGGGTTGTCCTGGGTTGTCCTGGGTTGTCCTGGGTTGTCCTGGGTTGTCCTGGGTTGTCCTGACTTGCCCTGTGTTGCCCCGAGGTCGCACCACTCATGCTCTGTGTTGCTCTCTCGTCCTCCCTCTCTTTGTGCATGCAGGTGTTGGCTTCGTGGTTGGTCGCAATAAAGGTGTGCTGCCCTGCCTCCGCCCTCTTCTCTCTCTTCTGCTCTTCCTCATCTCCCTCTGTGCTTCCTACACACCAATACCTCATCTGCCGTTCAATCCATCTCCCTCACTATCCATTCTGCTAACCTCCCAGCCCTTCCCCCCTGTGCCCCTCCCCCTTGTGCCCTTCCTCCTGTGCCCCTCCCCCTGTGCCCCTCCCCCTGCGCCTCTCCCCCTGCGCCCCTCCCCCCTGCGCCCCTCACAGACCGTGGAGATCGCCACAAGCTGCCACCCGAGGTTAGTGCCACACTCCTTTGTGAGAATTCTCTAAACGACTGGAGGCCACCCTGAATGCGGTGCTGCCCTCCTCCTTCACGCCCAGGGGTCGGTCAGGCCACCCTGAGTGCAGCCGGCACCTCTATTCCCATCTCCTGCTGCGTGTCTTCCCTGCGCCGGCTTCCTTTCTATCTCCATCTTTTCCTCCACCATCCTCCGTTGCTCATTTTCGCCCACATTCTTTCCCCTCTCGCCTATCACCCTCATTTTTTCCCTTTCTATTCTACCACTCTGAATCTCCTTTACGGGCACAGAACCTAGGGTTGGTGGAGATAGAGCCGTTGTTCCAGGAGTCAGGCGAGGACGTGTGGCAGACGGATGGTCTAGAGAGCGCCGCCTTCGCCTCTCTGGCGGACCTCAGAGTGCTTCGCACCGTAAGCGCTCCGCCTGTCAGTCCCATGTTCGTTGTTGCTTTCAAATACTCGTATTTTATTGACTCTCTCAAAAATGGCTCGCTCTTTCCAGCCTCCCACCCTACTCAATCTTTCGTTTCCCGTTCCTCACACCCCTTCGCACCTCCCTTCACACCCGTTCCTCCCTTTGCTCTTCACTTACTCTTACATGCATCTGGGGAAAGTGAATGCACGCACCGAGACGTGCGTATGCATTTGCCTTGCACCATCCCCTCTCCTACTCCCTCGCCCACATCTTTTCCTGCCTTCCACAACCTTCCACACCCTCCCACACCCTTCCACGCCCTACCACGCCCTCCCACGCCCTCCCACGCCCTCCCACGCCCTACCACGCCCTCCCACGCCCTACCACGCCCTCCCACGCCCTACCACGCCCCCCCACAACCTCCCATACCCCTGCATGCCCCCATATCCTCCGACGCCCTCCCATACCACCCCATTCCTGCCATGCTCTTCCGAATCACCTAACCTTACATCCCCTGCCTTAATCTACCGCCTGCCTGCCTTACTGTGCATGCAGGAGTTTGACAGGCGGACTGACTTGTGGCGCATTCTGGATGCGCTGTCTTCACAATGTTACACACCCTCCCATACCATCTTTTCCCCTCGCATGCCGCCGGACCTGCTGTGCACTCTACCTGGGTGTTCTCCCTGTGGCCTGCAGGAGTTTGACAGGCGGACTGACTCGTGGCGCATTCTCGATGACCTGTCTCCTGGGTGCGGGAGCCCGGTGTACGACGAAGAGATCATCGTGTAGCACATTTCTTACATCGAATTAGTAGTGTAGTGTGGCTCGTGTTGTTTGGTGCGCATGCTGTTGTAGGCAAATAGAGGGCAGTATTGAAGGGGCCATCATCAGCAGTGCAGGCTTGAGGCATCATGGATGTGGAAGTGTGTTAAAATATGGGATGGCTTGTCAAACATATTTGTGTATGTTTGGTATATCAGACTGAGAGGAACGAATGATGACTAGTGGGAGAGTACAGATAGATATACCTAAGTGTTGTACCCTCTAAGAGGTGACCCTATACAGTCTATGCAAACATGACAAATACACATATTTGACTCACCCCCTAGACTGCATAGGGGAATGTCCTGAACAAGCAGCTCAGGGCGGCACTACCAGTGCCTATTTTTCACGAGTAAATTACTCTGATTCTCTGATTTTCAGAGTTGATTTTGTGTACCACCCTTACGCCTCTGGGTAAAATTTTGAGATTATATGTTTTCTCTGATAAGCCAGGGTTTTCTTTTGTCCCACCCTGAGGGGTTTACTGTAAGGGGGATACCCCCGGATTTTCTTGTACCCCTCTGTCCATACATGCCCCTTGTTCACACGGACCGCTGAGCTGGCCCACGTCATGTACCCCCGGATTTTCGTGTACCCCCCTGTCTACATATGTGGCCCCATATCCCCGCCGTATTCACGCGGACCGCCCAGCTGGCCCACATCACATGATGCCTGTCTCGCTCTTGCTGGCAGATTCCATGATCCCTATTGGCATGTTTTCCTCGCGCCTCCCTTTTTCCAAGCCCTCTCTAGCCCCACTCCCCCACGTTAGTCTCTCTCACAGCATTCGCGTATCTTTGTTCCTCCCCTTCGTCGTTTTTTCAGCAAACGCCCTCTCTCATAATCAGGGTCCGCCATGCCTAGCGCGGTTGATCCCGATGACGGCGTCAGTGGTGGGAAGAATCAAAGCCCCTGGCGCTCGCTAAGTGCCATGCCCTAACAACCCTGCTAGCATACTAGCAGAACATACCACACCACATCACATGCTACGAGTAGCCGCTATTTCCGCCACTGGTTGTCTACCATGCCTGAGGGAGCCTATGTGAATCACGAGGAGGAAAGGATGGTGGGGCAGGAGTCAGACGGGCAGGAGGCTCGGCTTCTGGAGCACATCACCCAAACAGTCCCCGCGAACGACCCGCAAACAGTGATTAGCGCCATCGATTCCTACGCGTGGTCCAGCCCGGAGTTTTTCATGAACGTCGGCGACGTGAAAGGTGCAATTTTAGACGACGCCGTCCGTCGCGCGAATCCCCTCAGCGCACTCGAGCTCGGCGCGTTCTGCGGGTACTCGGCGGTTCGAATCGCTTCGCGCTTTTTGAAGCCGGGAGCTCGGTTGGTGTCTGTGGAGCTGAGCGACCTCCGTTCGTCCGTCGTCCGCAGCGTCGTCGCTCACGCAGGCCTCAGCGACAAAGTTACTGTCGTTACAGGCACACTGCAGACTTCAACAGACGAAATTCGGCAAGGTGCGAGCAAGGTTCCATTCGATCTAGTCTTCATCGATCACGTGAAGCACCTCTACCTACCATACCTCTTTTTTCTCAGAGACCAGAAGCTCATCGGACCAGGAACTATCATTGTGGCTGATAACATCGTCTATCCGGGGTCTCCTGATTATCTCGAATTCATGAAGAAGAGCTCGGAGTTTGTGACTGAAAAGAGGGAGACTACCGCTACTACGCCAATTCTGTTGGCTGCTGCCATGCATGGGACGATCGCCGCTGCTACTGCTGTGCATAGTGGGATCGTAGCTGCTGCTGCTAAGTGACGGAATTTCCGATTAAACTGCTGGTGTTAGTTGCGAGTGCTGCGATTTTCAGAGATTGCCGTCACTGCTAACGCAACTAGTGACACGGTTGTTGCTCACGTTGCTTATGTGTGTGTGACAGGATCGCCACCACCGCTGTTGCTGCTGTGGGTAAGGAGTTCCTGCTGCTTGCTGCAGCGGCAGTGCAGGGTGAGATTGCATCAGTTACTACTACAAGTGACAAGTTTCTGCAGCTGCCGCAGTTACGAATGTCAATTTTTTTAGCTGCCTGCAGCTAGTAGTGTGTATGGCATGATGCTGATGATGCTGATGAGTGAATGAAGGAATATAATGCTATATTGTATTGCAAGAGCACCTGCCCCCCTAGATCCACGGTCTCTAATAACACACACTATTAAGAGGTTGAAATTAAGGCACCCTGACTTGTCAGAGTAAAAAACTCCAAAACATAGGGTTACCCTGATGGCTCAGGGTAAATGTGGAGGACCACTCTGGTTTTCAGAGTAGTGGGGAAAGTAACTTCCAGATTTCAGAGTAGTGAAAATCCAAAGATCAGCACTGGGCACTACTAGTCCAACCTCTGAGACAAGGGTCTAAAAGACCAGTCAGAAGGAGTACAGACAAGGCAAAAACAAGATCAGGGCGGCACTACTAGTCCAGCCACTGGGAGAGGACACAAGTCCAGTCTGAGTATACATATAAAGGACGGTACAAGTCAAGGCCCTAGCAAGTGAGAGGCTACACGGACAAGACCAAGCTGTACGCAGTGCCGCTGATGATCTTTAGGCGCAAGCGCCTTCGTAAAGATATCAGCTGTGTTCGCACCTGAGGCCAAGTGTACTACGCGAGCCTGGCGTCGCTGCTGTAGCTCGCGCAGGAGGAAGTATCGTAGCTGAATATGCTTCGCTCTGCCCTCGAGTCGAGGCTCTTGACACAGGAGGATCATGGCCCTGTTGTCAGCGAACAGGACCGGGGCAGAGCTAGGCTGCTCACCTAAGTCAATGAGCAAGAAGGTCAGCCAGCGGAGCTCCTGTGCCGCCATGACACCAGCGTAGATCTCGGCCTCACAGCTGGACTGGGCAACAGACGAGGAGCGGGTAGCTCTCCACGAGACGGCACCTAAGCCAAGGCTGAAGCAGTAGCCCTGGGTGGACCTGAGTGTCTCGGCGTCGTCTGCCCACGAAGCGTCTGTGTGTCCAGTAAGGACCACTGGCCTGCGTCCTCCTAGCACTAACCCCATGCCCGATGTACTAGCAAGATAACACAAAACCCTCTTAGCGGCAGACCAGTGCTGCGGTCGGTGTCTGCCTATGGCCACAAAGCGAGCCAGGATGCTGAGAGGGTATGCGAGATCTGGGCGAGTGCAAGTCATCAGGTACATGAGGCAACCCACCAGCTCTGTGTAGGGGCCGCTGGGCTCTACCGACTCCTCAGACACTGGAGCGGAGAGTCTGTGGTCTACAGGCAGAGGGGTGGGCTGTGCAGAGGAGAACTGAAGGCTGAACCTCTGAAGGACCTGGCGCACCAAGTGTGACTGAGTCAGGGTGATGGTGCGCGCTGCTCTGTCCCAGGAGATCTGCAAGCCAAGGTAACGGCGCAGTTCTCCAAGGTCAGTGCACGTGTGTCTCTTCAGCAGCTTTGCCTTCACGGAGGCCAGTGCATCCCTGTCTGCTGTGGCAAAGACCAGGTCGTCGACGTAAACAAGGATGTAGAACGGAGTCTGGCCAGCACGAACGAAGAGTGAGGGGTCTGCGGAAGACGGAAAGAACTGCAGGTCAGCAAGCGTAGCAAGGAGAGTGTCGTGCCACTCACGGGGAGCCTGGCGCAGGCCGTAGATGGGGCGCCGCAGGAGCCACTGGGTCCCAGGAGGGAAGGTGCCAGTAAAGCCCTGAGGGCGACGCAAGTAGACCTGCTCGTGTAGGCTGCCCTGAAGGAAGGCAGTGGAGAAGTCGAGGGAGTGAAGCTCGTAGTCACGCTGAGCAGCTAGGTGTAGCAGAACCCGAAGAGTAGTCATCTTCGGGGTCGGAGCGAAGGTCTGAAAGAAGTCCACCCCCTCACGCTGACTGGAGCCTCTAGCCACGTAGCGCGCCTTGAACACATGCGGCTCTCCAGGAGGGCGCTTCACCTTGAAGAGCCAGCGGCCATCGACTACGTTCACCCCAGGCGAGGGAACTGCGTCGACGAAGGTGCCGGTGGATCTCCAAGATGCCATCTCCTGCTCCATGGCAGCTATCCACTGAGAGGCCCAGGGTCTCGAAGTCGCCTCAGCGTAAGTGCGAGGGGTCGGGATGTCGAAAGCGTCTGGGTCACCCTCAGGGACTAGCAGCATGGAACAGAGATGGGGAGCAGCCTCGGACAGGAAAGCAAGCTCGAACTGGCGGTCCTCCAGGACGTCACTACCAAGGGCAGGAGCACCCCCGACAGACGGAGGACAGGCAGGGTCAGAGACCAGAGCTGTGGCGTAGTCAAGGCGGCGGGTAGAGGCGAAGTCAGCGACTGCAGCGACAAGAGCGTCAAGGCACGAGACCGGAACAGACGGGTCGGTAACGAGAGAGGCAAGGACCCGAGGAACAAGAGGACGAGCGGCACGAAGGTAGTCAGACAGCGGGGGGGGTGCAACAACAAGGGAGGACGGAGGAGGCGACGGCAGAAGGGGAGGACGAGACACGTGGGAACGAAGCAACATAGGGTGGGAGCGCAAGACAGGCGAGGCAGGACTAGCACGAGAGGGACGGTGAGACCAGACGTGCGGCGGAGGAGTCGGGTCAGGAGACAGGGGAGGGGACACAGGAGGGGAACGAGGGGGAAGACGGGCCGGGGACGAGTCCGACGGAGGGAACACAGGGCCGTAGACGGGAAGAGGAGGAGACGGTCGGAGAGGAACAGCCGCAGGGTCAGGGGACGGAAGGCCGAGCAGGCGAAGGGCTGACACCGGCGGGGACTGCTGCTCCGGCGGCACAACGGCGACACCAGGACTGCAAGCTGCTCCTCGGCTACCACCGGCACACTCCACACCAGCACCCCCAGAGGAACCACCCCCAGGGCTACCGGGACGAGCACCCCCAGAGGCAACGAACGGGTGCTGCGACGGCGGCGGCGGCGGCGGCAGGGACACCGACGGCTGCAGCGGCGGCAGAGGCGGTGGAGGAGGGGACTGGGGAGGGGACGCAGGGGGAGGGGCGGCCGGCGAGGACTGCGCAGCAAGGCCACCAGAGTCAGAAGACTCCTCAACTGGGTCCACCGAGGGGAGGGGGGTGACGTGGGACACACCAGAGGGGGCAGGGGGTCGCGTCGCGGCCCTGTGGGTCGCGACGGCGCCCTGTGGGTCGCGACGGGGCTAGACCAGGGGCACGACGGGGCCCAGGGGGGAGGCGCGGCGGGGCCTAGCTAGGGGACGAGCAGAAGCGATAGGTGGGGGGGGGGGGGGATCCTAACCTACGCGTGATACCATATCAGACTGAGAGGAACGAATGATGACTA